GGTCGGGGGGGGCAGAAAGCACCCGTGGGTGCCAAACCCCCACCCCAAAGCAGCCAGGCACCCCCTGGAACTGTGGGGTGGGGCAGAAAACACCCGTGGGTGCCAAACAGGGGACAGAGAGGGAGCTGGGGATTTTGGGGACAGAGAGGGAGCTGGGGATTTTGGAGAGTGGAAAAGGGGACAGAGAGGGAGCTGGGGATTTTGGGGAGAGGGGACAGAGAGGGAGCTGGGGATTTTGGGGACAGAGAGGGAGCTGGGATTTTGGGGAGAGGGAGAGGGGACAGAGAGGGAGCTGGGGGTTTTGGGGAGTGGAAAAGGGGCAGAGAGGGAGCTGGGATTTTGGGGACAGAGAGGGAGCTGGGGATTTTGGGGACAGAGAGGGAGCTGGGGATTTTGGGGACAGAGAGGGAGCTGGGGATTTTGGGGAGTGGAAAAGGGGACAGAGAAGGAGCTGGGGATTTTGGGGACAGGAACAAGGGACAGAGAGGGAGCTGGGGATTTTGGGGACAGAGAGGGAGCTGGGGATTTTGGGGAGAGGGGACAGAGAGGGAGCTGGGGATTTTGGGGACACAGAGGGAGCTGGGGATTTTGGGGAGACTCACGCAGGTGAAGAGCAGCGCCCCCAGCGAGGCGTAGACGATGTCCATGATGCGGTTCCGGATGAAGATGCAGAGGATGGAGAAGAGCAGGAGCACGATGAGGCAGATGACGAGGACACCCCGGCACGAGGTGAAGTCGTACTTGGTCTGTGGAGAGGGGATTGGGGGGGGATCAGATCCCACAGATCCCACAGAGAGAGGGGTCACCACCCTGTTCACACCCCACAGAGCCAGCAGGGAGCTGGGGGAGGCTTCTACACCCTGTCCGGGCTCCAAAGAGCTGAGGGGGAGATCACACGGCCCCCCAGCAATGCAGCGGGGGGGTTGTACCCCCAGTTTGGAGCCCCCCCAGCCGGGAGCAGGGGCAGCCCTGGCCCGGACCTGCAGGGAGAAGATGACGATGGTGAAGCAGACCACGACGGTGATGCCCACGGCCATGATGACAGCCTCGGTGTCATAGAAGCTGGCGATCATCCCCACCATGTAGGACAGGCTGACAGTCAGGATGGACTGGGGAGGAAAGGGGGGGAACCCATCAGGCCTGGGAGCTCAGCCTGGCACCCCCAAAAAACGCTTCTCAGGGGGTTCAGCGTCCCCCGATGCTGTGTGTGTGTGTCCCTGGCTCGGCACCCCCAAAGCTGGCACATCACCCCCAAACCTGCCCCATCACCCACACCAGGCTCAACACCCCCAAACCTGTCCCGTCACCCCCACCCAGTTC